CCTGTAGGCTGCCTGGGGGAAATACAACTATTCTTCCCACAGCTTTTATATACAGTATTGCACATAGTAACAGAATGTAAATCCTCAAGAAAGAATGTGAACATAGCACATATTATACATCATACATGACTGTATATCATAAATGTGATATATAAGGTTTGACAAATGGGTTTACAAGTACTTGTATTAACATGACAAGCAAGTATATTAATAGGATTAATACATCAAAAATAAACTTGAAAGATCCATCATTACATCCTTGACATTTAGAATAACAGATAACCAAAGCCTGGCTCACATCAAAGAAAAGATATTTCAAACATTTATGCTAAGCAAAATGAAAAAATGGTGACATTATTTATATAAGGTCATATAATATACAAAAATAGTTAAAACAGATATGTCATATATATGATTTTAAAATCCAGAAGGAGCTCCAGATCAGAATATTATAATTACATGTCTCCAATATTTCTTCAGACTGCACATTGAAAATTTAGTTCCTTAGCTTGAAGGAACAAGCATAACAAAGAGAATATCTAGTGAAATGCAATCGCTACAATGTCATAAAATATGTAATAACCAAGTTCCATAAAGACTAACAGTGCTTCACACCAAGATATAATTATTACACTCTCTGAAAATCACAGTGTGCTCTTCCATAATTCTGTGCTCAGCAGGACTATGGAAGTGGCTGCGGAAAGAAGTGAATTGTAGATGAAACACAGCCCTAGTCTATAAGTCAGAAGACCCAGATTCTAGGTCCACCATGAACACAAGCCAGCTGTATGACCCACAAGCAAAGTCATCAATTCTCTCTAGACCCTAGTTGTTACATCCACAAAAATGAAGAACAGGGAATGCAGGAAAGTTTTGGAAGGAAAATTTTTTAGTTCCCATGTAACTCTGTAAGTTTCTAAAAATTTATGACCAAATGTACTATACCATGCAAAAGTGCTTCCTTAATAATCAGAGAATGAATTACTTGGTATAGTATTTTTAATGTATTCTAATGCTGTTTAAAAGAACAGTCTTAGTGTAAAACATATTGCATTTTGAGTAACTACACTGAACTGGAAGATCTCATCTCCCAACTAAGTCAAATAACTAAGTATTCTATGCTAAAACCTCTTCTTATCATGTTTTTTATCAAACTCTGTCCCCCAAAGGTTATGACAGCCAAGTCTTTTCTGTAACCTCTAAGGAGTCCAGAGTCTGAGAGAAGAGATGAACACAAGTAAAAATAACAAAAACATTAAGCATAAGACATAGTTACAATATTTTACAATTTACAGTATGAAGCTCCCTCTAGGAATCATTTCCCTCATGTGTCCCAGTCAGCCTAAACCAAAGAAGTCAACTTCCACTATCTGGTTTAAGACAGAAGCATCTGTGAAGTCAATAAGTAAAATATATCCCATTTTAACCCTGAAAAATTTCTGAGAAGTCAAGACTCTAACTCAACTGAAGATTCATAAACTTGAAGTCAAGAAGCTCATGGGTGTATAACTTGATTATGGCAACCTGAAAAAAGAAACTGGTCTGTTGTTTCATTTTTGAGCAACCAAAACTAGACAAGGATATCAAAGTATTCTAAGCTATTATGGGGTTTTTGATCCCATTCTATGCTCAAAAACAATTAAATATAATAATAATTACAGTTCCTAGAAAGTTTAGTACAGTTCATATATAAAATTATCAGACTTTTTTTTTTTTGAGACAGTTTCGCTCTTGTTGCCCAGGCTGGAGGGCAGTGGCACAATCTTGGATCACTGCAACCTCTGCCTCCTGAGTTCAAGCCATTCTCCTGCCTCAGCCTCTTGAGTAGCTGGGATTACAGGTGCCTGCAACCACGCCTGGCTAATTTTTGTATCTGTAGTAGAAATGGGGTTTTGCCATGTTGGCCAGGCTGGTCTCAAACTCCTGACCTCAAGTGATCCGCCCACCTTGGCCTTCCAAAGTGCTAGGATCACAGGCGTGAGCCACCATGCCCAGTCAGGCTGGTATTTTGGAGAAGATAATCTTTTACTATCTTGTCAATTTTTTGTGTATTTTGGAGTATTCTATTTCTTTTACAGTCAGTTCTGCCAAGTATATTATTCTAGAAAAGATTCATTTGATCAAAATTTTCAAATATATTAGCAAAAAGTTATAGAGTATTTGCAAACAATTGTTACGTCATTTGTATCTGTTGCTTACAACTTCTTTCTCATTCCTAATGTTTTCTCACATTTATTAGTGACCAATCATCTATTATTCTGTACATTTTTTTGTCTTCTATCTTCAATTCCATTATATGTATGAATTCATGGGTCCCCAAGCCCCAGGCCACCTGTTAGGAACTGGGCCAGGCAGCAGAAGGTGAGCAGCAGGTGAGTGAGCTTTACCACCTGAACTCTGCTTCCTGTCAGATCAGCAGCACATTAGATTCTCATAGGAGAGGAGGCTCTATTGTGAATCGTGATTCTCATAGGAGTGCGAGCCCTATTGTGAACTGTGCATGTGAGAGATCTAGGTTGCACGCCCCTTCTGAGAATCTAATGTCTGATGATCTGAGTAGAAGAGGTTTACCCTGAAACCATTCCCCCACCCAACCCCCCATCTGTGGAAAAATTGTCTTCTGCAAAACTAGTCCCTGATGACAAAAAGGTTGGGAACTGCTATATGAATTCCTTTCTGCTACTTTCTTTTAATTTTCCTAGTTTTTGAGTTAAATATTTTACTTATTTTCAATCTGTCTTATTTTCTAATAATACTCAAAAGTCTTCATTTTTCCTAGGACAGCTTTGGTCCATCCAATCTGTTTACATAATACTCAACATCTGTAGTATGCAGTGTCTGTTTTGAGTCCTTCTTTTCATGTAATAAAATTTTGGATGGCTATTTTATATAAGTTTTTCAGTGAACTATAATCAAAGATTGTATCCTGTATAAAATCAACTTCTGAGAATTTATTGAAAATTTTCTGTGCCCTAGAATGTGATCAACTTCTGTTTCATGCATATTTAAAAGTGTGTAATTTAAGGCAAAAGATTATATAAAGCTATTAAGTAACACCTTTCATATGTGTGCTCGAATCTCCTTCAGTTTAGTGTGTTTGTTTAAATTGACCTAATTAAGTATATTTCACTACACTTGAGAATTTGAGCATTTCCTCCTTCTTCAAATTCTTTTTGGTTTCTATATTTTGATGTTAAACTCTTAGATTCACACAAGTTTATAGCTGTTGATCATCTTATTGGGGGCCCCTTATTTATAACAATCTAAAATCTCTCTGTACACTATGTTTTGGAATAAAGGAATTATATTTTGTTTACTATGCTTACAGATTGAATTATCTTTCCCAGGAAAGTAGTGAAATATAGAAACTGCATAAAAATATAAATTCACATGCAGAGTTTAATTAAATGCTATGGTCTCAATGTTTGTGATCCCCCAAAATTCATGTAGTAAAAGGTAGGACCTTTGGGAGGACATAGCCAGAAGGCACCATCTATGAGGAGGAGAGACCTCACGAGACACTGAATCTGATAGCACCATGATCTCAGACTTCCCAGCCTCTAGAACTGTGAGAAGTAAACTTCTAGTATTTATAAACTACTCAGTCAGTGGTATTTTGTATTCAGGAGCTCAAACAAACTAAAGCAATGAGGTTTCTTAAAATTTTTTTTTCCTGGGTTTGGTGCAAAAGTAGAGCTTTTTAAAATTTTGTTCTAGTACTGACAGAAATAATTTTTCTGAAGATTCTAACAAGCAGTGTTTTCTTTCTAGATTAACAAAATCATAGTTTGGGTTGGTTATAATAACATTGAATCTAAAAAGAACTTATAAGCAGGCAGAATTTTCTTTTCCTTTTTAATCCAAAGATTAAAGTAGCCCAAATAACACAAAGAACCTGAAGATGAAAAGAACAACGTGCACTGTATGTTTCACATAAAAACCACTTGTCACTTTGATGGTTCCATTAAGGCAGCAATGTTTCTTCAATAAGGACTTTTACACTACTGTTTTCACTTACACATTATTTGTCTCTTAAAAAACAATTTCAGTAGCAGTTTGGATACAATTAGGATTTTAATCTTGATTGTAAACATGCTAGCCCATAAAGCAAAACAAGGCTTAACACAGATCTCCTTAATACTATGCCTAAAAAACTATTTAACTACATAGACCATAATTTGCATACACAATTCATGAAACAGCAAAGAAAAGAGTGCTGGATAAATTGTAACCACTCCCTGCAACCCCTCTTACCTAAGTCAGTTATGAGGATCGGTTCCTGCAAAGGAATATCAGGGACTGGAGCGTTCGTCTTGCCAACACGAACCTTTGCAGGTTTTCGCTGGTGCCTCATTTTCCTTAATTCCGTATGTTTAAAGTGGGAAGCAATGTGAGTCTTCCTATGGCCTGAGGTTCGAAATTTTTTGTCACAGTGAGGACAAGCAAAAGGTCTAACTCCTAATAAAAATAAAATCACATTTTAGAATTATTTCAAGAAATTACATCTCAACAGCAAATGCCAACATAAAATGTTAGTGTTTCCAATACTGATTTGAACCTTCAATTTAATAGGCCAGGCTTATAATTTCATGGATACTGTAAATTATTTTCCCTTGTTTGCATAGAGTGCATATTATAGATATGAAGGCATGTAATAAGAGTATTTTAAGTATATTAAAAAAAGAACATTTTGTATTTTTAGGACAAGGTCTTAAATTGTAAAATATGGATATTCAAACAACTAGTACTTCTTAAAAATTCTACAGTATGTAAGGATGCTGTCTCTCTCAAGTCCTCTTCTGGAAAGTGGCTTAAGGACACCAGCCTCCAGGGCTGCTGCTGGGATTATGTAAGCTAATGTTTAAACAGCAGTTAGTAATGTCTCACATTTTGCAAACAAACAATGAATAGTAGTTGCTACTGATTGTGAACTATGATAATAACAGTACTAACATCCTCTTAATGATCCTCTTACTACTGTGCCCCACTTCTAAAGAATATTTCCTTGTTTTATAATTTTATTAGCAAATGAAAACGTAAACTTCAAAGAAAGACATACAACAAAACTGAGTAAGTTCAGCTTTGTCAAACACTTATCCACAGGGTCAGCCCAGCAGAGGATCCCTGAGGGAATTTGGGAGATACTGCCAATGAGTACAGGGTTTCTTTGAGAGGTGAAGCAGTGATAAAAATGTTCCAAAATCAGACAGTGATGTGGGCTTCACAATTCCAAACTGTATACATTAAAAGGGTAAATATTATAATATGTAAATTACATCTCAATAAATATATCATTTAAAAAAATTTGGAGCGCCATAATGAAAGATTTCACCCCTTAATACTGATTAGAAAGCCTCAGTACAAACAGGTCCCTGATCCTCCCCCCTGGCCCAGCTAAAGCCTTCAGATCTTCCCAGATCATATGGAGACTATGCATTGTGTCCTCAGAAAGGCTCACTCAGCCTAAATATAAATCTGATCCGGACAGAAGTCTCTTTTCACCCTCTGCAATTCTACGTTCATTTTTAAGTGTTACTTGTTTTTCATGCCTCCCCCAGCATATCCTTAGCTCCATGGAGATCCAGGTTGCACCTGTTTTCTTTACCTGTAGATGCCTCATGCCCACCCTACAGAAAAGACTCTACAACTGCTGATGAAAAGACGGAAACACATCCTCCAAGTATTCAATTATTGCTCTCCCAGGTGCTGTGACTCAATCTCTTCTCAGCACCTGTGTGCAGTACTGTATGCAGTACCTATTGGCAGTGGGTGTGTGTGCCACTGTTTGGTACCATGTGTGATACCTGTGTGTAGTACTGTATGTAGTAACTACTGGCAGTGCCTGTGTGTGCCACTGTGTTTGGTACCATGTGTGGTACCTGTGTGTGGTACTGTGTGTGGGACTGTGTTTAGTACTGTGTGCAATACTGTGTTTCGTACTGTATGCACTACTTATGTGCAGTACTCTGGTACTGTGTACAGTGCCTGTATGTAGTACTGTGTTTGATACTGTGTGTGATGCCTGTGTCCAGTACTGTTTAATAATGTGTGTAGTACCTATGTACAGTACCTGTGTGCAATACTGTGCTTGGTACCTAAGTGCAGTACTGGGTGTGTGGTACTATGTCCAGTACTGTATGTGGTACTGTACGCAGTCCCTATGGGCAGCAGTTGTGTGTGGTACTGTGTTTAGTACTGCATGCTGTACTATGTTTGGTATTCTATGCACTACTTGTGTGCAGTACTGTGTGAGATGCCTATATGCAGTACTGTGCATAATGCCTGTGTGCCGTGCTGTTCAGTACTGTATGTGGTACCTGTGTACAGTACTGTGTTTGGTACTGTGTGCAGTACCAGTGGGCAGTACTGTTCGGTATCTGTGTAGTACTATGTTTGGTACTGTGTTTGGTACCTAAGTGCAGCACTGTGTGTGGTGCAGTGTGTGGTCCCTGTGGACAGTACATGTGTGCAGTACCATGTTGGGTATTGTGCACAGTACCTGTGGGCAGTACTGTTTGGTACCTGTGGGCAGTACTGTGTTTAGTACCTAAGAGTAGTACTGTGTGCGGTACTGTGTGTGGTACTGTATACAGTCCCTGTGGGCAGTACTCATGGGGTACTGGGTGTGTGGTACTATGTTTAGTACTGTGTTGAATGCCGTTATGTAGTACTGTTTGGTACTATGTGCAGTACCTGTGTGCAGTACCTGTGCATGATACCGTGTACAGTGCTAGTGGTCAGGACCTGTGTGGGTGCAGCACTGTGGGCCACACTTGTGTGCAGTACCTGTATACCATACTGTTTGGTACTGTGTGTGGTCCCTGTGGGCAGTGCCTGAGTGCAGCTCTACAGGCCATACCTGTGTGCAGTACTGTGTTTGGTACTATGCATGATGCCTGTGTGCAGTGCTGTTTGGTACTGTGTGCAGTACTTGTGTTCAGTACTGCATTTGGTACTGTGCTTGGTGCCTGTGCACAGTACCTGTGATTGGTACCTTGTGTGGTCCCTGTGGGCAGTGTCTGTGTGGGTGCAGCACTGCAGGCTGTACTTGTGTGTGGTACTGTGTTTGGTACCTGTGTGTGGTACCTGAATTTGGTACTGAGTTTGATACCTGTGTGCAGTACCTGTGTTTGGTACTGTGTGTGGTTCCTGTGACCAGTGCCCATGTGGTTGCAGCACTGCAGGCCATACTTGTGTGTGATACCTGTGTGTAGTCTCTGTGGGCAGTGCCAGGGTGGGTACAGCACTGTAGGCTACACCTGTGTGCAGTACTGTGTTCAGTATTATGTATGGTGCTGTGTGCAGTCCCTGTGGGCAGTACTTGTGTGCAGTACTCATACATGATGCTGTGTTGGGTACTGCGTGCAATACCTATGTACAGTGCTGTGTTGGGTACTTTGTGTGATATCTGTGTTTGGTAACTGTGTGCAGTCGCTATGGGCAGTGCCTCTGTGGGTGCAGCTCTGTAGGCCACACCTATGGTGTGGGTGGTATTTTGTGCAGTGGGCGGTACTTTGTGCAGTCTCTGTGGCAGTACTTGTGCAGGCAGTACTTGTGTGCAGTATCTGTGTTTGGTACCTTTGTGCAGTAGGCTGTGCAGTCCCTGTGGGCAGTGGCTGTGTGGATGCGGCACTGCAGGCCACACCTACGGTGTGGGCAGTACTTGTGTGCAGTACCTGCGCGCGTATTGTGTGCCGTACTTGTGTTTGGTACCTGTGCGCCGTACTGTGTGGGCCCCCGTGGCCAGTAGCCGTGTGGACGCAGCCCTGAGGTCGTACCTGTGTGCAGGCGGATGTGCACCTTGAGGCTGCCCGAGGTGGAGAAACTCTTCATGCAGTACTGGCACTTGAACGCCTTGATGCCGGTGTGCGTCTTGATGTGGGCCGTCAGCGTGCTTTTCACGGCGAAGGCACGGAAGCACTGCGGGCACTTAAAGGGCTTCTCGTGGGTGTGGATGCGAATGTGGCGCACCAGGTCGCTGGGCTTGCGGAACTCCTTGGCGCAGTAGGGACACACGTGCCATCGCACGCCGTTCTCCTCCCGGATGGAGCCTGCGGAGGGAGAGGACACCTATCACTCGGCCTGAACGCCACGCCCAGTGTCCTGGCCAGGGCCCCCCGCGGTCCCTATAGAAAGCTGCGCCTATGATCAGTTATGCGAAAGCTTGCAATTCCCAGGATGGCTGACGTTATCAAGGGCTATGAGTTAATCTTGCTGAAACCCCTAACAGTTGGGGAAAACACAATTCAGTCTCTGAGAAAGTACGCCCACTGAAAAAGGGATTGATTCTGTAGGTCCAGCGGCACCTCGGCTCCCTCTTAATGAGAAGGAAAGCAGATGGGATCGAATAACCCCATGCTTAATGCAAGGGACCGGAAGAGAAGAAGTGACGCTGGAATAAGTATTTATTGGGCCTACTGGATATCGCCAATAAAAAAATATAAATGCAAATAATTAAAAATGGTAAATTCATATGCAATGAAAGGCAATTTGTAAATAGTTAAGACAAATAGTATATATCAATTCCTGATAAAATGTAAGTGGATCTGTCTCCTGTATTATTCAATTTTGAATCAAGTTAAAACTATTTCTAATAGAAGAAAAATCACAAATTGATGGAAATATAGTAAGTACATCTGTCCCTCCCTTTTCAGTAGAAAACAGTGCCAAGACCCGAGTGGATGCCTGAAACCCCAGATAGTAGGGAAAACTACCTATACTACGTTTTTCTACCTGATAACCAAGCCAGCTACTGAGTGGCTAATGCAGCAGCGTGAGTGCATGGGACACAAAGGGATGACCTGCGTCCCTCTCATCCCTCTCGGTATGGAGCAGGATAGCACAAGGTGAAATGGTAAGCAGTTTACAACTTAAGAATTGTTTATTTCTAAAATTTTCCATTTAATATTTTTGAGAATTTGGTTGACTGCAGGTAACTAAAACTTAGAATCACTTTATTTTTTAAATTTTTGATTAGATTTATTCATCTGAAATTAAGGTGACATGTACGTACTATACAGATAACTCAAATAAAGAATCCACATGAAATCGAAAGATTTTGGCCATGTTAACGAAATTCACCAGAACATTTTAACTAAAATTTACTTAACTGTGTCAGAAAAAAGTTGTTTTTTTAAAGAGAAAGAAAACCTCTGTTTCCTTCTCTGTTATCACTAAATATAAGAAATTCTCCACATATGCAAGTAAATCTATAAAGGTAGAAAATGTATTTCCTCGAATACAATATTCTTCGCAAGAATAATTCATGTAAAAAAGAAAGGGGCCTGGTGCAAAGGGGCTGGGTGTGGTGGCTCACCCCTGTAATCCCAGCACTTTTGGAGGCTGAGGTGAGTGGATCACCTGAGGTCAGGAGATCGAGACCAGCCCGGCCAACATGGAGAAACCCTGTCTCTACTAAAAATACAAAATTAGTCTGGCCGTGGTGGCGTATGCCTGATAACACAGCTACTCAGGAGGCCGAGGCAAAACTATTGCTTGAACTGGAGAGGCGGAGGTTGTGGTGATCCAAGATTACTCCACTGCAGCCTAGGCAGTAGAGACGGGTTTCTCCATGTTGGCCAGGCTGGTCTCGATCTCCCGACCTCAGGTGATCCACTCACCTCAGCCTCCAAAAGTGCTGGGATTACAGGGGTGAGCCACCACACCCGGCCCCTTTGCATCCAGCCCCTTTCTTTTTTACGTGAATTATTCTTGCGAAGAATATTGTATTCGAGGAAATATATTTTCTACCTTTATAGATTACTTTTGTAACAAGAGCAAAACTCCATCTCAAAAAAAAGCAAAGAAAAGGAAAAGGAAAAAAAGAAAGGTGGGCAGGGCACGGTGGCTCATGCCTGTAATCCCAGCATTCTGGGAGGCCAAGGCAGACAGATCGCTTGAGCTCAAGAGTTCGAGACCAGCCTGGGCAACATGGCAAAACTCTGTCTCTGCAGAAAAAGTTTTAAAACAATAAGCTGGGTATGCTGATGCCTGCCTGTGGTTCCAGTTACTTGGGAGGCTGAGGTAGAAGGATGGCTTGACCCAGGACACGGGAGTTGTGGTGGGCTATGACTGTACCACTGCACTCCAGCCTTGGCAACAGGGCCAGACCCTATTTCAAAAAAAAAAAAAGAAAGAAAGGAAAAAAGAATGAAAAGTGATTTAAACAATGACAGAACAGAAATAAAAACAAAGGCACAGACACAAATCACAGGGGTAAAAATGGAAAAGGAAATAAGGTTTTAAAATGAGAGACATTTATTTTGTGGTGATAGTGCATATTTTAAAGACATCTAAAATTTAAGACTGCTTAAAACAAATAGGTAAAAATTAATTCAGAAATATGCATAGTTACCTAAAGGCCTTATCATGACAAATCAAAAATGCAAGGTATAAAAGGGTATAAGAGACTATAATATCTACTAGTGAAAATTAGGACGCCATTCCCAAGCAATCAGATTTTTTCCAAACCAAAATAAAACTACATCTCTTATGCAGGGTGACATAATCTAAATCTGCACTAGGTTCTAATATCTGGGAATAGACTAGAACAGAGACTACGAACTGGAAGTCCTGAAGCTGTCTCCAAATCTGGCCTCCATATGTTTTGCTTCACCCACACAATGTTAAAAAAGGAAGTGGAATCCAGATTTCCAACTCTGACAAATGGAAAGATCTGGAAAGCTAGATCTGCAATCCCACATGGCAAGCTTCCCTGGAGTTGGCCAATAGCTTTTCTCTTCAAATATATTAACAAATGTAGGGGAAAAAGGATATATATACATCTTCAACATGAAAAGGTATTTGCTACAACTCAAAGTGTAGTCTTAAAAAAGGTCTAAAAACAGGAAAAAGTGAATAAAACATATCTCAATACAACAATCAACTTAATAGAAAAATATATTAAAGTCAGGGAAAAAAGTTCACTATGACTGCCATAATTTATAGTGGCCTAGAGATAGTAGTCAATGACATTAGACAAGATAAAGCAATAGACAGTATAAACTAGAAATGTCAGTCATTATTTTCAAATAATATTACCACATAATCTAAAAAACCTAGACACTCAGAAAGATACCCGTTTTAATACAAGAAACTCAATACTTTTCCTATTTACAAAAAAAAAAAAAAAAAATCCAAAGAAAATTTCAAAATGTTACTGAGATACTTTTCAAAAAGAAAAAAAAAAAAAGATGAATTAATGGAAATGCATACCCTATTCTTTGGGACAAAGACTAAGTTACAAAGACATCAATTCTCCTTGGTTTAATTTATCACTGTATACAAACACCAACAAGACTGTTTTTGGAACTAAAGTTTTTGGAACTTTAGCAGAAGATTCTAAATGCATCTGAAAAATAAATATGTGAAAAAAGTCAAGAATACACTTTTAAAAAGGAGTATCAAGAGAAGACTGGCTTTCTAGTTATCAAAGTACACTAAAAAGTTAAAACCTCTTGGTACCAGAACACTTGAATAAAAAGACAGATTAGTGGAATAGAAGAGTCCAGAAAAGGCATATACTGATGTGGGAGTGTGATAAAGATGGCATTACACTTCAGTGGGGAAAATACGATTTCTTTAACAAATGATGTTGGCACATCTGGGTGGCCACCTGTGCCACCAAAAGAATAAAACTGAATCAAAGATTTAGTTTAAAACATTAAATTATGGCTAAACACAGCAGCTCACGAGTGTAATACCAGCACTTTGGGAGGCCAAGACAGGAGGACTGCTCCAGGGCAGGAGTTCAAGACCAGCCTGGGCAACATAGCAAGACTCTGTCTCTACAAAAATAAAAGTAACAAAATTAGCCACGTGTGGTGGTGCACACCTATAGTCCTAACTACTCAGGAGGCTGAGGCAGGAGGATCACTTGAGCCTGGGAGGTCAAGGCTGCAGTGAGCTATGATCATGACACTGCACTGCAGCCTGGGCAGCAGAGTGAGTCCCTATCTCAAAAAAAAAAAAAAAAAAAAAAACTCTTAAATTATAAAATTCAGATATAAGAGAAGGGGTTATTTTTCCATGATGTCAGTGAAGAAGTCTAAATATCACCAAAGCCCAAAGTCATTAAACATTAACAAACTTAGCTATACATATATATAAATTTCTCCCCAGTTAAAAAAGTTTTTTAACTCAAAAAGGCAAACAAATTAGAAAAAAATGTACAGCTGATCCTTGAACAACTCATAGAGGTTAGGGACACTGACTCCCGATGCAGTTAAAAATCTGCCCATAAGATACCCAAAACCTTAACTACCAATAGCTTCTTGTTGACCAGAAGACTTACCAGTAAAATCAATAGTTAACACATATTTTATATGTTATGTATATTATATTACTATAATCTTACATTAAAGCTAGAGGCAAAAAACCTTATTAAGAAAAGCACAAAGAAGAGAAAATATATCTCCTATTCATTAAGTGGAAATGATTTTCATCTCCATCTACATGTTGAGTAGGCTGAGGAAGTGGGGGGTCTTGATCTCTCGGGGTGGCAGAGGTAGAAGAAAACCTGCATATAAGTGGACCTGTGCAGTTCAAATGTGTGTTGTCTAGGAGTAAACTGTATGAACAAATATAGTTCACAAAATACTATCATTTTTAATACATTATGGACAAAAGAATTTAAGAATTAGTCTTATGGGAAGATACAGGTATTCTTTAACGGGAAAAGCCCTCAAACTTACTCCTTGTAAGAAAAATACAAATTAAACGTACAATAAAACACTATTTTCTAACCTATCAGATGAGTATAAAAGATCCCC